TGGCGACGGTCTGTTCGGTTTATGGTTGTACTATACAAGCAACGCAGGCACAGCGTAAGGAACAGGGATGTCATCTACACTAGAAAAGCCTTTGAGACAAAATCTCCTGGTCCGAGCAAGTCTTCCATTCCTGAGAATGCTGGTTGACAGCAAAGCTGTCAGCAAGGGTAATCACGCAGACTTGAAATTGTGCGGAGCAAAACCGCTTGAACAAGCCTGGAAACAGATCTAAAAGGATATCGCTCCCGGTAACGTCAATCTCTTTTAAGGTTGTTGCAGACCTTTTACTTCCATTCAGAATGACTGTGGATCCTTAAATGCGACATGGCCTATAATGACTTGCGATAGTCAATCTTCAAGGTGAGGTTTTTATCCTCCCAGACGAGGCTGCACACAGATTAGGGATCCAGGAGCAATGAAGAGCTTGGTTCGGCTGGATGAGAGCCGATCAAAAGTATGACTCCAGTACTGTTAGCATTGTAATCGGCCCTTCTTGCCACTACACTTCCTTCGCCCATACAAAAGCATGCCCCGAAATAATTTCCTGTACAAGAATCATGCACAGCGCTTTCCTGGAGTCGGTCTAGCTCTAGGCCTGGAAACCTTCAACTCAAGCAATATAAAATATTACGACTATTGCCACAGCTGTTAGGCGATCACTAGCTAAAGCACCACCTCCCACAACTAACAGTCAGCGCGAACCTAACAGGTCACCGATGATGAGACGCTCAATACTGGGAACGAAACTCGGCAGTTTTTGTCTAGACCAATACAAGACAGCAAAGGATTTCCTCACCTCCGGTAGCGCCAGTTGAGCAAGAGTGTTCCACCCGCTTTCGGTGAGAGCTAGACGAGTGAGAGCGATCTGAAGATCAAATTATCACAAAATCTAAAAGGAATTATTCATTCAAGAGCACCATGGTAGGTTATGAAAGGCTCCTGGAAAACAAACTACCAGATATCAGACAGCGTGGAGAATGGGATATCAGACACCTTTCTCTGGCGCACCTACGAGGAAGGCACAATAGTCATTAGTCACCACCCCTTTTATCATCGCGGAATGTGCTTTAACTGCAGTTGTCTCGGAGCAAAGAACATGAGAACTCACCATCAGGCTACCATAAAGAACGTGATTCTGCTCATGTTCAGGCTCTCGTCGTGACAAAGACACCCAGTCTACCTCAATTGATGCCAACAAATCGGTCATATACCTTGCTACACCAGTTTTTGACACCAGTACAGCGAACTGAAAAGTAAAAAGACGATGAGTTGCAAGTGCGAACAAATTTCCATGGAACTGCCTAGTGGGTGTCATAGCTGTTTAACAGTACAAAGTTACAGTAGCAAAGCAGAAAAAGACGCTTTTGGAATCCTTACCGTCCTTTGGTCCTCGTGTAGTACGTCACTCAGCAACAGCAGAGGGGTGGACTGAAATACAGTAGAGTTAGAGCCAGAAACGAGATAATTGAAGTCTTCAGGCCTCACTCAAGCCTTCACTTGAGCCAGAAGGATCACATCAAACCTAGCAAATATAGCATCCCTCCAGGCGGTGGTGATGTTGGTCCCCCACTTACAACGCACGCAACCCAAGGGTCAAACTGGTCGGATCACACCTGACGAAGCAAACCTCTTACCCACTAGGGATAGCAATTCGGCACACGACTGATCTGGGAAGATATGAAACACTGATTTGTATCATTGGCTGACTTCCACAAGTCTGTAAAGGGCATGCCGCATCTTGAAATGGGACTGCTCAACTGCGAAAACTTTTTCGTGGGATTTCGGCAGATTTCACGGCTATTGCGCATGGAACCCACTATAGTCGCTCTGGCGAAGACTCGAGCAATAAA